GGGTAAGTTAGTCCAGAGGAGCAGTTGAACGGGGTGTTCTGGGAGGGGAGACGAGAATAGACTATCCCATAGGGCTGCTGCTCTTGCCCAATAATCTGTAGCTTCTTTGCAGTTAATAAGGCAGTGTATCAAATCTTCCTGTTCTTGGTCTGAACAAATTGTGCAAACATCCGCGCTGGTTGGATCGTTCTTTCTTCTTCTAACATGTAACCACTGGTTAACCGGTAGAGCAACGTACGTTATGAGCCACTGCATGCTTCGGATTTTTATGGGTCTTATCATTTTATATTTCTTCCATGGAATTTTTGTTTTCAGGTCTGCCTCAGAATCAATTAACTTGCGCCATCTTTCTTTGATTATTGGGTTTGGGTCCTTTGCTTTTAACAACATTTTATATCATAGCTTAACTATGTAATCAGAAATTGTGATTGGTGGTTTGGTAGTTATGTTTCTGTTGGAGGGCCAAGCCCATTCTGAGGGGTCAAACTCGAGCTCTTGAATTGCTGTCCTTATTTGAAATATCTGTTTTGGCCAAAGTCCTAATGCTCTTATTTTACGGAGCATAAACGCATTCAACACTACTCTTTATGGTTGATATTTTGGATGTACAATTCATCTGGCTTGGTCTTCAGGATCGGGAAGGATGTGAAGACATCTCTTGGACCTGAACCTGAGATTCGATGGGAAAATTGGTGTAGGCCCTCTCATGGGAGGGGTCCTGGATTAAGATTCCCCACTCACCCGCTTTCCATGTGAATTCCTCCTTTAGTAGCTCAACCCAGTCCCCAGGGATGCTCTGTATAATCTTTTGCAGGTTTTCATCCCTGTGGTGACAGCCTTCCAGTGCTTTGATCTCGTTTTCGTCGAACCAGTTCTTCCTTTCCTTGTTCCAGATGTCCCCTACTCGCCAGACCCCATGTGTGATCCACGGTAGCCATTTGTTGCCTCTGGCGGAGAGTGTCCATGGGTGGTCTCGTGTGTCAGCGACGAACTGTCATTTGACATGTTGCTAGGTATGTACTACCTCGAGGTCGCTCAACCACAGTTCGATTGGGATAGAAAGGTATTGATACACAAACTGCTAAATGGTAGGACCGTTAGATTGCAAAAGTTCAAAGCTAGCACTCTACTGGAAAACTACGGTTGAATGTGTGCCTTCTCTTTTTATAACCATTATAAGCAGAATCGCGAGGAGGGCATGTATCTAGTCTTTGTCTCTGAGAAAGGGGAGGCCGTAAAATCACCCCCAAAGATAGAATCAGACGTCGCTCAATATTCAGAGCTTTTCGAGGAGCCTACAAGAGTGGTAGAAACGGAGGTGGTCCATGCAATAGAGGTTGTCCACGGTAATAAGGTGCCTAGAGGACAAATTCATAGGATGTCTCCTGCGGAGTTGGATGAGCTCCTCCGCCATCTCAAAGAGCTCACAGAGAAGGGATGGATTCGGCCTAGTACCTCCCCTTACGGTGCGCCAGTTTTATTTGTTTCTAAGAAGGGAGGTACACTAAGGATGTGCATTGACTATGGGGGCCTCAATGCCATCACCGTAAAGAACGCAGAGCCCCTAACCCGCGTCGACGACCTACTGGATAGAGTGCAGGGATGTCGGTATTTCACAAAGATAGATCGGAAGTCTGGATACCACCAAATTGCTATTAGACCTTAGGACCAGCACAAAACCGCTTTTCAGGCCAGGTACGGTATGTACGAGTTTGTGGTGATGCCCTTTGGTCTATGCAATGCCCCTGGGACATTCCAACACGCAATGAATAGGATCTTTCACGAGTACTTAGGCAAGTTTATCGTCGTGTACCGCGACTATATACCTATCCTTAGTAAGACTGTAGATGAGACGGGACTGAGGCAACAAGGCTGGAAGAGAGGGGGAGAGAGTGAGAGCACACACACACACTCACTCAACTCGATGCAGACTCGACACGACTCGACGGACGCAGACACGAAGTGGCAAAGTCGCAAAGTCGAAGTCTTGGATTTTCGAAGCAAGTCACACTGAGTACGAGTACAGCAGAAAACTGGTTCGAGAGTGGTCCCCGTACTGTACGGGGAACAGGTACAAGTATCGTTGACACGTACGGTACCAGGGGCACCTCTGCAAAAGCCCCCAGGGCAGAACTGAAAAATGAGGTATTTGGAAGTGGCACCCGAATCGTAGCATGTTGTCCAAAATCCGACGGTACCAAAGGAGGGGTTTGGAAAAAGAGTGCCAGACCAAAAACGGGATGTAGCGAAAGCAGCAACAAAATAGACCAGGGGTCGAGCCCTGGCGGAGTCCGTAACACTATTCCCTCCCTCCGAAAGGCAACGTCCCGGCTGCCAAAAACCTAAGGAAACAAAAAGGAACTGTGAAGGACGGGACGGGGCCGATCACTGGTCGGAAAAGGAGAAGGGGAGTGATTCAAGTCTCAGGGTATTTTGTCAGATGTTCTGCACAGGTGAACGTATGATGTATCTGGATAGGTCTACTGGGGAAGCTAAGAAATGTTCAGGGAACATGGGATTTCTATTGATGTTCTACTGGGTAAGGGGAAACAATGTCCAGGAAAACAGGGAATTTCTATTGATGTTATAGTGGGTAAGGGGAACAATGGTCAGGGAAACAGGGAATTTCTATTGATGTCATAGTGGGTAAGGGAAACAATGGTTAGGGGAACAAGGATTTTCTAATGATGTTCTACAGGGTTGTTAGGAAAAATGAAAGTGTTTGTTCAGGATGCAAGGGCTGGTGTGCTTGAAGGAGTTGGAAGCAAAATCTCATGTAGGAACAAAGCGTCCAAGTGTCTTGAAAGGGGATCTGCAGCGATCTTGATCAGGTCTTGGAGTAGGTGGTAGAAGCGGTCCTCAGCGGCTGCGACAGGTAGAAGTCCAAGAAGCGTAGCAGTAGTTCAAATGTCCACAGTCCAAGTGCTAGGGTGTGTCCGGTACACGAACTGCAATGAGGTCTGATCTGGAAGCAAGGAAGTCACAGACTGATGCAAAGATCCATGTCACAAGTTGCTGCTCCAGTAAGTCTGCGAGTCGAGATGTCAGCCGATGAAACGGCATGGTGGCCAAACCAGCTGCATAATCTCCATGATCAGTGAGGCAGCAGGCCATCGTCCCCGTGCGTTTGCCATTAGATCCTTTATCGTCGGCGTCACGCAGGTCCACAAGCATTGGACAAGAGAGACAAGGTAGTGGAGCGGACAAATGGGACAAGGCTAGGTGGGGGCAAGGGCAGATCAGACATCAGGAATCAGGGTTAAGGGGAGGGTGTACTGGGTTTAAAGGTGTGTGTAGAGCGAGGTTGCGGGGTTGTAGCAGGGTTTATACGGGGGTTGTAGGGTTTTAGTTATGTGGGTACCTAGGTCATAGGAGTAGCACGGTCGTAGGCGCGAACAAGTTTCATGGCATTCTTGAGATTCGAGAGAGGTTCCCATGTAGATTCTTCGTCGGGGTATCCGGTCCATTTGACTTTGTATTCAGTGATTGGTTCCGGGTGATCAGACGCCTGAGTAGTTTGTCGACCTATGATTGCTTCAACAACGTATTCAAGGTCTGTGGGTAACATGATAGGTGGAGGTCTAGGATACTGGCGGTCGGCGAACTGGGGCAGGGATTCGTGGTATTCTTTTAGGTACTCGACATGGGAGACTGGGTGGACACGACTCATGTCAGGGGGAAGTTGGAGTTTGTATTTGACGGGGGAGGTTTTTTCAATGATGGGGAAGGGTCCGAGCCATTTGTTCGAGAGTTTCTTTGGCAATCCATGTTCGGGTTCAAAGCGTTTGGCGGAGAGCTAGACTTTGTCCCCTACGTTGAATTGCAAGTCTCGTTTGTGTTTGTTAATCTTGTTTGCTTGTTGTTCTTGTGTTCTTTCAAGGGCTTCGGTTGCTTCCTTGAGGAGTCGATTCATTGTTGCTACCCATGCATTGAGGGAAGGGCAGGGTGTGGAGGGGTTGACTTGCGAGGGAAGCAGGAAATCAGAGGGCAAGCGCGAATGGCAGCCAAGGTCAAGGTAGAATGGAGTCATGCCAGTGGAAGGACAGACAGCGTTGTTGTAGGCGATCTCGGCGGCGGTGAGCAACTGATCCCAGTCGTGTTGGTGTGGATGACAATACTTCCGCAGGATTCTTTGGAGAGTATCGTTCACATCTTCTTTGTTGGTCCGTCGGTCTGTGGGTGTAATGCAGTGCTATACTTGAGCGTGGTTCCGTAGGCCGTGAAGAGGTGTTTCCATAATTGTGAGCGAAAGCGAGGATCTCGGTCACTAATGATGTTCTCGGGGAGGCCGTGATGGCGAGCAACATGGTCGAAGAAGAGTGTGGCAACATCTTTGGCACTGTGTGAGGTCGTGCAAGGGATGCAGTGGGCACGTTTGGTCAAGCAGCAGACAATGACGTAAATGATATCATGCCCGCGGTCGGTCTTGGGAAGACTGCACACGAAGTCCATGGAGATGGACTGCCAACGGTGAGTTGGGATGGGCAATGATTGGAGCTTGCCGGGTTTGGCCTGGTTCGAGGGATTAACGGCTTGACACGTCGGGCATGAGCGGATGTAAGCTTTGACGACGGCAAGTAGGGTAGGTCAGTAGAAGTAGCGGGAGATGGTGTCGAAGGTTTTCTGGAAACTGAGGTGTCCTACAGACCTGGCGTCGTGGTGCTCGGCCAAAAGCTGAGTATGGAGGCCACGTGCGTCGGGGATGCAAAGTTGGCGAGTGCCTTTGGTGTCGATGTAGAGGAGGTTGTCGTGGAGGGAGTAGTTGGGGATTGGGTCAAGATCGCGGAGTTTGTTGTAAATGGTGGCGGTCTGGGCAAGAGAGGTAACCTTGGGTGTATCGGTGATGGAGTGATGGGAGGAGCTGGATATGAGTCATAGCGGCGTAGACTTTCTCGGGGGGCTTGTGGCTGGGTCGTCGAGAGAGGGCATCAGCAACACGGTTGCTTTTGCCGGGGGTATGGCAAATGGTGAATGTGAACTGGGCAAGGAAGTTTAGCCAGCGAGCTTGTCGCGGGGTAATGTCTTTCTTTGTGAGGATGGACGAAACGATGGTGTTGTCAGTGCGGATGGTGAAGTATTACCCGTCGAGGTACGGGCACCAGACTGTGAGGGCGTGAATCACGACGAGGAGTTCCTTCTCGTTGGAGGGGTAATTCATCTCCGCGGGAAGGATCTTCTTGCTTGCGAAGGCGATGGGGTATTCACCAGGTGGAGCCTCGGGGTGAGTGGGTGAGTCCTTGATGGAGGGGGTCTCGGGGATGTCGCGGGGGAAATGTTGGGAAAGTACGGCTCCAACGGCGAAGTCAGAGGCATCAGTGGTGACATAGAAATGGCGAGTGGGGTCGGCGATCTTCAGGACAGGGGCTGCACTGATGGTTTGCTTGAGTAAGTCGAAAGCGTGTTGGCGGCGATCGTTCCAATTGAAGGGCTCGTCCTTGCGTGTGAGTTCGTGGAGGGGGTAAGAGATCTCGAAAAAGTTGTGAATGAACGGGCGGTGATAGTTGGCAAGGCCGAGGAAGGAACGAAGTTGGAGGAGGGTCTTTGGCGGGGGGTACTCGACGAGGGCTGTGACCTTCGAGGGGTCCATACGGATGCCTTCAGCGGAGACAATGTGGCCGAGGTATTCGACGCTTGAAGCGGCAAACATACATTTGCTGAGCTTGGTGTAAAATTTTTGCTCTCGAAGGATCGAGAGGACTTGGCGAAGGTGCTGAAGGTGGGACTCGAGGGTGGGCTTGAAGACAAGGATATTATCAAGGTAGACGACAACACAGACTTCGAGGAGGTTGCGGAAGATGTGGTTCATGGTAGATTGGAAGGTAGCAGGGGCGTTGGTGAGTCCAAATGGCATCACGAGGAACTCGTAGTGCCCGAAGCGAGAGCGGAAGGCGGTTTTGTGGGTGTCCTCCTCGCGGATACGGATCTGGTGGAAGCCACTGCGAAGGTCGATCTTGATAAAGTACTTTGCTCCACGGAGACGATCAAGGAGCTCGGAAATCCGAGGTAGGGGGTACTTGTTCTTGATCGTGATCCGGTTCAAGGCGCGGTAGTCTGTGCACATGCGGAGTTCCGAAGTCCCACCTTTCTTGACGAAAAGGCAGCTGGTTCCGAAGGGGGATGAACTCGGCTTAATGAACCCTTTTTCAAAAAGTTCACTGAATTGCCGCTTCATTTCTTCGGCTTCGGGGACAAAGAGTTGGTATGGGGTGAGGGAAGGTGGAGAATGTCGGGGCTTCAAATCGATGGTATGTGATACGCCACGATCCGGAGGTAGTCCGGCGGGTAAGGACTCAAGAAAGATGTCTTTGAACTCGTTGAGGATTGAGGTGATGGTGGGGTCTGAGGGGGGGGCTTGATCGAGTTTGTCCGACGGGAGTAAGTCCTCGGGACTTTCGCGATCAAGGACAAGACAATAGTAGGCGGAGTCGGGGTTCAGGTGAGCCATGTGGAGGAATTTGTGCGGGGTGACAGAGCCTTGGGAGGTCGGATATGGGAGATAGGGGATGTCGATGGTTGTGTCGGGGGGTTTGGTGAGGCGAAGGAAGTTGGGGTGAAATGCGTATGGCATGTAGCGGTCCAGCCATGGGGTTCCTAAGACGATGTCGCACATCAGGTGCATGACATCGAACGATACCTGGCTGCGGAGGGTACCGACGGTCATGGTGGTTTCGGGAACCGTGCGGTCTACTACGACGACGGTGTCTTTGTCCCCTAGGCGAATCGTGATCGGGGAGTCGTAGCCGATAGAGGTAAGACCGGCTTTGCGGACACACGTGTCAGTGATGAAGTTACTGATGGCTCCAATGTCGAGGAGGGCCCGGAATTTAGTTGTAGACGCACCAATGGTGGTGGCGATTAATTTGAGGTGGAAACGAGATGAGTTGACGGTGGAGATGATGGTGTTGCGGCGGCGTTGTTCGTTGCCTAAGCGGACGAGCCAATTGTGTCGAGCTTGTTCCTCAACAACATCGGGGAAGGTGAGAGTGGATGGGTTTGGAAGAAGGGTAGAGGAGCATGAGGCAGTGGGAGGCGTTTACGACGCCTGTGAGTCGTCCTGTGGAGGGGGCGTCACCGGAGAGGGGGGAGGCAGACGAATTGTCAATGCCAGATCAGCCATCAGTGGGACGGAGGGCGTCACCGATGGGTGGGCCGACAGACGCGGTGTCGATGCCGGGTCGATGTCCTGGGGACTGTGTTCATGATGAGGAGGGACCCGCGCTTGCCGAGGGCGGTGATGTGGAGGTTGCGGGTCGAGTGGAGGTGGACTGGCGGGTGAATCGTGCGGCGTTGGGGCAGTTGGTTTGTTGGTGCCCCAATTGGCGACAACGGAAGCAACCCCCTTTTGCTTGGAGGCAGTTGCGCTCCTCGAGGGTTAGTTTCTTGAGGCGGGGGGGTGGGGTAGATGAGGGTGGTCGGGAGCTGCGATCTTTGAGCTCCATCCTCATGAATTGGACGACATTGAGTTCCTTGGAAGTGAGGGATGAAGAGTCCAGTGAATCGGAAGATGCGTGGGGGTCCGGTGTAGTGAACTCGTCCGAGGAGGTGGTGGAGGTGGTGTCCTTGGAGGCGATGTTGTGGAAGAAACGAGGGCGGGGAGGGACCGATGTAAGTGCGGTCTTGTAGGGGGAGAGGATGCGGTCGAGTTGGAGGGTACGAGTGAGGAGGTCGGCGAGCGTCATGGGGGGCTCGTGGACAAGGGCGTCCGCTTGGTCTTTGCGGCATACAAGCTTAACGCGGCAGATGAAGGCGAAATTGCTGACGACATTCACGGGGATATGTTGACGAAGCGAGTGGACGTATTGCACAAAACGGTCGTTTGGGCCGTTTTGTTGGAGCCGGCATAATTGGTCAATACAGTCGTCGACCGTTTTGTTTTGTTGGAGCCGGCATAACTGGTCAATATAGTCGTCGACCGTTTTCTGTGGGCGAAAGGTGGAGGTGATAAGGGTGGCCCACTCAAGGAAGGTGTGGGGCCGGAGACCGGAGTGATGGCGATTAGACATTTCGGTGTACCACCAGCGAGCAGCGTGGTCTAAGAGTCGGCTGCCAGCGATGGGGAGCTTGTAGATGACAGGGATGCCGTGGAGGGAGAAGGCTTGTTGGATTTTGGTGAGGAAGAGGGGAACGTCCTCATGGGGTTGGCCTGAGAAGGTGGGGATCTCGTTGGCGCGGAATGATGGGGGGATTTTGCCTTCTCTGTGTGTAACGGCGACAAGGGCATTGAAGTCGAGGGCGGGGGAGGGGGAGTCGACCAGGGTGAAATCATTGGTGGGGTTGGTGGGGATGAGAGCATTTGGGGGAAGTAGTGGAGGAGCGGGATACACAGCTTGTGGGATAATCTGAGTGTAGGTGGGGATAGTTGAGGTGATAGTGGAGGTGGATAAGAGAGGTTTTGATTGGAGGGGAATGGTTGATGATTGTGTGCGGCGGGGGTTTTCGCCTTGGGCGAGAGGGGAGGTGGAGTGGCCACGGTGGAGGTAGTGGTGGATGAAGATAACGGTGATGTTGATGACGTGCTGGCGGAGAGTACGGTGGATGTGGACGGGGAGGGAAGTGGTGCGGATGTAGTTTGGGGGGAGGTTGTTGTGACGACCGTGATGACGGGGGTGTTTCCTTCGATTGCAGTGGCGCGGATGGAGATGGTAGAGATGGAGGTCTTTATGTCGGTGATGGAGGTGTTTACGAGGGAGATGGATGATTGGAGGGATTGCATCATCTGAAGTAGGGCCGCAAAGTCGGGTGCGGCGGGGGTTGCGGCTGGTTGGTCGCCTGCGAGATTGCGGGCGATGCTGTCGACGGAGTCGGTGCGGATGCTGGACATACCAATGCTGGATGATTGGGCCATGGTGGGGGAGGAAGCGGTGGTACCAGCAGATGAGGTGGAGGCAGCAGCAACAACGGCGGCGTCGGCGGCTGCGCGTTGAGAGTTCCTGGTTGTGTGTTTCATGCCCGGGAGGGGGTCCTATTTACAACAGCATTAAAAGAAGATAATTTACAAAAAGCAGATTTTGCAAAATAAGAATTAAAATAAATTAATTTCGATTCAAATTAATTAATGTTATTCGAGGTTAATTCGAGAATACGCCTTGCAGAAATTCAAAAGGAACGAAATTTTCCAGAAATTTTCCTTGAAAATATTGGAAAAGGGAAGAAAAGAAATAAGTAGTTTCGAAGACAAATAAATTCCAATTTTTTTTTATTTAATTTTTTTTTCGAAATTAACTTTGGGGTATGATTTTACAAGAAAACGTGAAAAATCCGAAAAAGGAATTAAGTAATTCTAAAATATTCCTTAATTTCAAGAAAGAATTTAGAAAAAGAATTGATCACAAGGCGTTTTCGAATTTCAGAAAATTTTTCGAAAAGGAATTCTACGAATTAGAATATACTTCAATCAGACTCGCTTTCATTCACACTTCACATGCATGCAAACAGGTTGCGCAGCAAACTGCCGTCAAACGCCCACTCAGAACTCATAGATATAGTACCAAGAACACAGCTCAGATACAAGTTCACTTCGAACGGTTATGGCGACACATTGCCTCTACAACTCTCTGTTCGTCACTTACTCAACACTGCTGTTCGCACACAGGATCACCCTGGATATCCCACACGCAACACCCTGTACACTCGCACACACCCGCACACACCTACAACTGTGGCGGCTATGGCCGCTGCTACTCTATCGCTATGGCTAACTTCCTTCTCGCCCACTTCGTSCTCGGGCTCACTGCAGACCACCTCGCACAAGTCGCTATGGCAGCGCTTCCGCATGGCTCACGCAGGAATGAATGAATGGCTGGTCGCTACCTCTCAATTTATACTTCTGTAGCTCGTTGGTCTGGCCCTTTCCCATGCCCGTGGTGCACACAGTCTCGTACAGTACTTGCTGGACTGGACTAGGACTGATTGGGACTGGGACTGCTGACTCAGCACGGGTAGACTCCACCACTTGCCCACTTGCCTTTGTCTCAAACGTGAGCAGCTTTGAAAGGCCACTTCCGAACCTTCCGGAAGTTCGTGGGCTTGGCCTTTCGAGTATTGTAGCAGCTACGACCTTGACCTCTCAGGACTGTAGCAGCTATGACCTTGACCTTTCATGATCCCTACAGCTACGACCCCTACAGGGCTGCGACTCCTACTCGACAGACCTACATATCGAACCCCCACCACTACACAGACCTACGACAGATAACAACAACTGTCAAAACACAGGTCACGGGTTCAAACACTCGGGGTCGACGCAGGTAAGGTACACAGGTAAGGTGAGAACTAGGGATCAAGCCCTGGGATCTGCATTCGCTACTGCTAACAGGTGAAAACCGTTTCACTCCCGCCGGCCTAAATTCGAGGTCCTCCAAGAATAACTCAGTCCAAGGCAGGACCTTTACCTTTCATATCTCTCTCGTAGGCTCTAACTATGTCGGGAGTTGTTTCTAGAAGTTATGTTCTAGTAAACCAGCGGTCGTCCTCGGGTTCCTGATAAGCAAACTGAACCTTGTATTGCTTCTGCAGACGACCTCTACCTCCTGTTTTGAACACGTCTTCACCTACAATGCCGTCAATGTCGTACCTTCCGTCCATGTTTGGAGGAATCATGGATCTTCTAGATGGAAACTGTTGACTTGTGACACACAGCAACAACTTTGAGGCATGAAACACAAGGTAGGTGTGGAGGTGTGCTGGGATCTCTACTGTGTAGGACGACCCATCCTCTCCGCCCTTAACTTCTAGAATTGGCCACGGTCCTCTATACGCGGGCAGTAACTTCTGCGAGATGTTCTCCTCAAGAGCAAATTCTTTGGACTTGACCCAGACTAAGTCGCCTACTTGGAACTGTGATGGGTGACGATGTTTGTTGGCTTGCTCTATCATTCTATGGCGGGCCTTCTTGAGGTTCTCTGTGATTGTAGCTAGCTCTTTCTCGTGCTGTATCGCGAACTCCCTGGTATTGGGCGGTAGCCTATGAATCTGATCCCGGTTAAGTCCCTCAAACGGTCTACGGGGTTTAAAGGACTTGTGCAACTCAGTGGGAGTGCGACAGGTGGACAAATGCACGCTATTATTATAGGCACTGGCTACCTTGGGCAACATCTCATCCCAATTGACATGATCTGGTCTATTGTACATTCGCAGAACTTGCTGTAGGATCTTATTCATCTGTTCAGTCTGACCGTTAGTCTCTGGATTACGGCCAAATGACATCAAAAACTTGGAGCCATAGACTCTCATCAACTCCTGCTAGTTCTGACTAGTGAACCGGGTGTCTCTATCACTAACTATAGATAGTGGAATCCCGTGCTCACTGACCCAATGATCAAAGAACTTCTGAATAACTAATTTTGTGTGTGCCTCTGAGGGCAAAGGAACAAAAACAACATACTTACTAAACCTGTCAACTATTACCATGACTTGGCTATTGTCGTGCCTACTCTTGACATGGGTGTCAATGGACACTGAATCTCCTGGCTGATCAGGGATAGGCAAGGGTCTGAGAAGACCTAGAGGGGCACGTGTAGAGGTCTTATTTCTCTGGCAGACCTTACAACTACGAACATACTTTATGCAATCGACCTTCATCCAGGCCATATGTACGCGCGCATAAGGTTAGCTAGAGTCTTTTGCTAACCAAAATGTCCCTTTGTATCGTGACATTCCCCTAGGATTAGACTACGGATCTCCTCATTGTTGGGAACACACAGGCGGTCTACTACATTAGTCTTCTCGAATACTAACCCCTCTGTAGTGCGGTAATATGGCTCAATTTCTGGGGCCTCCCTGACTCTCTTGTAGGCTCAGTAACTGGCCTAACATAGGCTACAAAACCCAGTTCTTCTAGTTGCTCCTTCTTCACTAACCTCGTGAACGCAGGAGCGCTAAGGCAGCAATGTGCCAGGGAGTTATCTACTCCTGACACGTGGAACAAACGGGTAGTCTTGACCCCGCCTGATTGACTAGGGAGCCTACACTCGTGTTCTCTCAAATGGAGTGTGGCCCCGACTGCCTCTCCCCAGTCCATCCCTAGGACTATATCGAAAGGAAGGTTGTCCTCAACGAGGAGAGTCAGGGAATGGAGAACTTTTTCCACCTTCCCATCCTTCTCTAGGCGAAAGTACGCCTGGACTCCCTCTACATAATCCTCTACTCGCATTGTGCGATTGTCTGCGAGGATACTCACTATGGGGTCTGCTAACTTCTGGACTTTGAGCCCCAACTTCAACTTCTGCAGCGCCTTTCTACTGATATAGTTGCGCGTGGGCCCACTATCTACTAAGGCCCCTACTCTACCTTTGAAAATCTCTACATCTACTAAAACTAGTTGTCCTCTACTCTCCTTCTTCATCTTGGCCCAGGCGGGCATCCTCTCCTTTAGCTCATCGGCCACGCCTGTGAGGGAAGTGCCTAGAGAGACCCTAACACAAGCGGTCTCTGGACAGCTATCTAGGCACCGGTCTGCAACCTCTGCCATAGGCACATGTGGTGTGGGAGATTCCTGCCGGCTCGCGCTCATTTCCCCACATGGCCTTATGGTAGGGGCAGTTGCTACCCCTACCGGCGGCTGCCTTTTGACCCCTGGGCAGCCCATCGGGCCTCTCTATACTTTGGACAAAATTTAATGATGTGGTCAGAGTCACCGCAATATATGCACTGCCCTTGGTCCACACACTGTTGCCCGACGCGCTGGTCCAGGCCCATGTCTTCCCAAGGCCAGCCCTGCGACAGACCTGGGTGCCAGTTTCCTCTCCTATAGGGTGACCTATTACCCCTATTAGGTGACCTATTCCCTGAACGGTTTGGCGGGGGACCTTGACCCCTTCCTCCTGCTTGGCGGTTTCCTCCTCTACCACCAATGCCCTGATCGCCCTGGGAACGGCCCCTTGAGGCCCAGCCGGGCCAGCCCCTTTGGCCCTGGCCTCTACCTCGTCCTTGCGGCCTCCCTCCGGCCGCGACAGCAGCGTAAGTCCTCCCCTGGCCAATGCTACTGTCCTCCTCCTCTAGTCCCCACTCAATCTGCTCGTAGGGGACCTCGTCGACACCACCCTCATCTAATGTAAGGATTAACGATCCTTGGTCTTGACTTGACCCGAGATGGTGAGACCCTTCCACTTTTTGCCCTTGTCCAGGTCCTTATGCCAAAAAGTGGAGATTGAAGTGGACCGGGTTTCGAATGCTACAACTTCCTTGCTCAGCGCATCGTAGGTCATGGCAGGCTGCTGACTCTTTTCAAAGAAATGCCCGCGTAACTGCTCGGGCATAGCGCGGTAGAAGGGGTTGACCAACTGGGTCTCAGTGACCCCATGGTCAGGGACGGCGGCCAGCTCATCCGTAACGCCCTGGAGTGCCTTAGCACTCTTCCATTGGTGAGAATGGATGGTTTGCAGTTTGTCTGAGGCCTTGACACTATGTGTAACTTCTTCAAATCGCTCGTGCAATAACTAAAGGAAGTCAGTGAGGGAAGTGAACACAGAATAAGCAACTAAATCATCATTGCAGTTAGCGGCGCGGCACAAGGAACGGGCGAAGCTTGCTGCCTCGTCTCGAAAGGTATGGATGGCTATCATGACATGCTCATCCGGGGAGACCTTCTGCAGATGGACATAGGTTTTGACATTGGCTTCCGAGTTGTTAAAATTCTTCTTTTTCTTTCCGCTATAGGAGTCA